CAGCGAGCGCAGCGTTTCATTGACGGGCTTTACCCAGCAGTCCGTCATAACATCGTAGGCCATGGGACACAGACATATGCACGTGCAGTCTCCATTGCTCAGGAGGTGGATACTAGCATTAGGAGGGAGGCCGTTCGTGGTCAGACTCATTCATCCGCCCCTGCTCAGTCATCTTCAGTTCCACCGATGCCAGCTCTACCATCTACCCAGCCGCCCAAGAACAACAAGAGGAAAGAGAAAGGTGCCCCAGCAGATAAGAGGGCCCGACGGACGCTACAGCAGATCCCTCAGTGCCCGACATGCGGACGACTTCACCGAGGAGAGTGTCGCTTTGGTCAGGATGTATGCTACTACTGTCATGAGCGCGGACACTTTGCGAACCACTGCCCGAAGAAGGCGCAGCAGCCTCAGCAGCCACCGCAGCAGCCTCAGCAGCCACCGCAGCAGCAGCAGCCCCGTCAGCAGGCACAGAGGCAGCCTTAGCAGCAGCAGCAGAGGGGAAGACAGCAGGCCAGAGTTTATGCCATCGATCAGGCAGAGGCCGAGCAGCAGCCAGGTACCATGTTCGGAATGGTTGTTCTTAATAATGTTCCTGTGTTTGCTTTATTTGATACCGGAGCGACGCATACTTTCATTTCACGACGATGTCTTGATGCCATCGGAGTTCGCGCTACTACCGCTATCGATCCTCTCGAGGTGAGTTTGGCCTCGGGACGAAAGATAGTGACTTCAGCTAAAGCTTCAGATCTTAGCCTTTCCATCGGTGGCCGAGTATTGTCTACCGACGCATTTGTTCTCGAGATGAAGGACTTCGACCTTATCCTCGGAATGGATTGGCTATCCTTTTATCATGCGGATATCAAATGTCACGACCAGGAGATTACTCTTTATCTTCCAAAAGACGAGCCGATTACTTTCTTCAGCTCCAGAAACCGTTCTTTGCCTCAAGTTGTTTCGATGGCGAAAGCCACTAAGTTGCTGCGACGAGGCAACTACCAGGGTTATCTGGTGAGCCTCGTTGACGATTCTCAGAAAGCACGTTCACCTCACGATGTTCCAGTCGTTCGAGAGTTTGTGGACGTATTCCCAGACGAGCTCCCAGGAGGACCGCCTAATCGGCAGGTGGAGTTATCTATAGACCTTATTCCAGGGGCCGGTCCGATATCCAAAGCCCCGTACCGTATGGCGCCTAAGGAGTTGCAGGAGCTTAAGGCGCAGATTCAGGAGCTGTTACGACTCGGTTTCATCCGACCGAGTGAGTCACCTTGGGGAGCACCCGTTCTCTTTGTTAAGAAGAAGGACGGATCCATGCGCATGTGTATCGACTACCGGGATCTTAACCGGTTGACGATCAAGAACAAGTATCCGCTTCCGAGGATCGATGACTTATTTAATCAGCTGAGGGGAGCCTGTGTGTTTTCAAAGATTGATTTACGATCAGACTATCACCAACTGAAGATTAAGGAGTCAGATATCGCTAAGACCGCTTTCAGGACTCGTTATGGCCATTACGAGTTCGTAGTTATGCCATTCGGTCTCAGCAATGCGCCAGCAGTTTTCATGGACCTCATGAACCGTATCTTCCATTCCTACCTAGATAAGTTTGTTATTGTCTTTATTGACGATATTCTTGTCTACTCGAAGAGCCAGAAGGAGCACGAGGAGCATCTGAGGGTGGTTCTTGAAACCCTCAGACGAGAAAAGTTATTTGCGAAATTCTCCAAATGCGAGTTCTGGCTCCAGCGAGTATCCTTTCTGGGTCATGTGATTACTCAGGCAGGTATCGAGGTGGATCCTTCCAAGGTTTCAACTGTTCAAAATTGGTCAGCACCGAGGAGTCCGTCCGAGGTTCGCTGTTTTCTCGGTCTAGCTGGATACTATCGCAGGTTCATCGAGGGCTTTTCCAAGATCGCCCTTCCTCTATCCCAGCTGACTAGGAAGTCTGTGAAGTTCGAGTGGACTGACCGATGTGAGTCGAGCTTTCAGGAGCTCAAGAGGAGATTAACTTCAGCACCGGTGTTGACTATTCCCGATCCTTCTCGGAGTTTCACTATCTTCAGCGATGCTTCGAGACAGGGCTTGGGATGTGTCCTTATGCAGGATGGCCATGTCGTTGCGTATGCTTCCCGTCAGCTTAAGCCGCATGAGCAGAATTATCCGACGCACGACTTGGAGTTAGCAGCAGTCGTTCATGCTCTCAAGATTTGGCGACACTATCTTTACGGCGGTAATTGTGAGATTTTCACAGATCATAAGAGCCTGTAGTATATCTTTACTCAGAAGGAGCTCAACATGAGACAGCGCCGTTGGTTAGAGCTCGTCAAGGATTACGGCTGCTCTATTCAGTACCATCCGGGAAAGGCGAACGTCGTTGCTGACGCCCTAAGCCGAAAGGTGCGGGGTGACTTGACGTACGTCATCACTCAGCAGAGTCCTTTGATTCAGGAGTTTGCCCGGATGCAACTTCAGGCGATTGATGCACTTCCCATAGCAGTTTCGGGGAGTACCAGTGCCAGTGTCAGTGCCATGCAACTTCAGCCGACGCTGAGAGAGAGAATCCGACGAGAACAGGCTTCTGACAAGTTCGTTCGTGTCATGGAGGCCAAGGTTCGCGTCGGAGGCGTCGAGGGTTTTCAGCTAGGTGCCGATGGTGCCCTAGAGTTCAGGGGCAGGATCGTGGTCCCGAAAGTTGAGACGTTGCGGAAGGAGATTTTATCAGAGGCCCATACCGCACCCTATCCGGCCCATCCCGGGAGCACGAAGATGTATCACGACCTGAAAGGGGCGTTCTGGTGGCGAGGCATGAAGAAGGACGTCGCCGAGTTTGTCAAGAGATGTCTTACCTGTTAACAAGTCAAAGCCGAACATCAGAGTCCGATCGGCCTCCTGCAGCCACTGCCGATTCTGAGGTGGAAGTGGGAGGAAGTCACGATGGATTTCGTTACGGGATTGCCGAGGTCGTCTGAACATCACGACGCTATCTGGGTCGTGGTCGACAGGTTGACTAAGGTCGCGCATTTCTTACCCGTTTCGATGAGGATGTCCTTGGATAAGTTGGCTGAGATTTATACCCGTGGAATCATTCGACTCCACGGAGTGCCCGTTACTATCGTATCAGACAGAGATCCCAGATTTGTCAGTCGATTCTGGCACAGGTTACATGAGGCGATGGGCACGAAGCTAGAGTTCAGTTCAGCCTACCATACGGAGACAGACGGTCAGTCAGAGCGGACTATTCAGACGCTTGAGGATATGCTCCGCGCTTTGGTTGTTGACAGGGGTGCTAAGTGGGAGTCTTTGTTGCCGTACGCCGAGTTTGCGTATAACAACAGCTATCATTTGTCTATTCAGATGGCTCCTTACGAGGCACTTTACGGTCGCAAGTGTCGTTCCCCTCTCTATTGGGACGACGTCGGAGAGCGGCGAGTAATCGGTCCCCAGTTGATCGAGGAGACAACAGATCAGGTCGAGTTAATCCGACAGAGACTCAGGACAGCTCAGAGTCGTCAGAAATCTTCCGCCGATCATCATCGGCGAGACATTCAGTTCGAGGTTGGCGAGCCAGCCTCTCTCCGAGTTCGTCCGATTCGCGGAGTTGTGCGATTCGGAAAGAGAGGGAAGTTGCACCCTCGGTTCATCGGTTCATTCGGGGTTCTCGAACGAGTAGGCGAGGTCGCGTATCGTTTAGCTCTACCTCCTGAGTTATCAGGCATTCATAATGTATTTCACGCATCGATGTTGCGGAAGTACATGTGCGACCCCGATCATGTCATTCCTCATTAAGATATTCAGGTTCAGTCAGATCTTTCGTACGAGGAGCGACCGGTAGCTGTCTTGGACCGTCAGGTTCGTCGGCTCCGGAAGCGAGATATCCCCCTCGTGCGCATTCAGTGGGATCACCACGGAGCTACTTGGGAGGAAGAGTCCGATATTCGTGCTCGTTTTCCATATTTTCAGTTTTGATGTATATATTTTCAGTTATGTTCTGAATTTCCGAGGACGGAAATTTTGTAAGGAGGGAGGATTGTAATATCCCGTCTATTTATCAGTATAAATTATGTTTTAGTTCCGATATTATTTTTCGGAATTAATTATTTTTAGTTGTTTCAGTCGAAATTACCGGAAATTATTTTCGACGTACCGTTTACGTTCGAAATAACTTTGGTAATTAAGTGTTATGCTTAATTAAGTGATTAAGCCTTAATTGGTGATTAATAAAAATTAATCATCTCATGCATTTTATCAATGTCGTGCGTCTTTGTAGTGGTGGTGAGATGTCCCATTTTTTATTGTTAGTGTTTTGGTCCAAGATTCCTACCACCTTGTCCTATGTGCCGTGTGTATAAGTGATGTGTATTAGTGCAATTGTTCCAAGAATTCCTTCCACTTAGTCCTTAATTGCCGTGCATGTAAGTGGGAGTTGTTCAAACATTTCTTCTTCAATTTTTGTTGGTATCTTCACGTGGCTTTATGAAGCTTAAGGAGAGGTTTGCATATTTTCCATGTGTCTTAAGCCTTAGTGCATGTAGGAGATGTGTACTAAGCCATTGACCAAAGATCTCTCCCTCACCACTTCTTCATTTGGTGCGTATGCATAAATATGAGATGTTGGGAATTTTTCCCATCTTTTCCCTCAATA